CCATTGCAGAAAAAAGATCTTTCAATAATGGACGACGATTGTTGAGCGTTTACGATGATGATGACAACAACTCTCCTTCGATGCCAAAACATAATGATTTTGTTTTTCCACCAAAGAATGCCTTATCCATCATTGGTTTCATCATTGGTTGTATTTGCTCCGTCATGTATATTGGTTCTCGATTTCCTCAACTCTACAAAAACTACAAAGTAAGTAGTGTGCCCATATCCAAAGTCTTTCCATGATCCTAACATTCATGTTTTCATTGAACCACCCCAAATATTGCTAGTCCAAAGACACAGAAGGTCTTTCTCGAATTTTCTTTTTCCTCGCCATCTCTGGCAATATCTGTTATGCTACCTCCATTTGGTTATTCTCTATCGATGGTCAATACCTTATTACGAGAATTCCATGGCTTTTAGAGACTCATGTCAATGTGGTGCTAGATTCAATTATTCTCACACAAATATTCTACTATCATAGACATAGAAAAGGTGCAATCATCCTTAATAATAGTGAGGATCAAAAACATCACGAAGACAATGAGGATCTCCATTCAAAGGATTCCCACAGCAATGATTCACACTCTGTGACCGAATCTGCCACTCGATCCTCTTTAGATTCTTCTGAATTGAAACTCATTCCTGTCTCTAATACTAATTGATTCATAACAGTTTCTGACGGAATGTCAACATAAAAGATTTACCTTTTGAACATTCATTGATTTAGCGATACAGCAATAATAGTCATTTCGTGGCGTTCCTTTGTTGAGTCACGAAATTAGAGTATGATTTCGCAAACAAATGACAAAGAAAGAATAATTGAGAAATGATTCAAGAAGGTAATAACATTGACCTTCCCTTCACATCCTTCGAATATTCACCCAGTCAAAACAACCAAACCAGTATTTGAAGGTGGACGAAGTTTCAAACTCAAGTTCCTAGTTCCCCATCAAAAAAAATGCCATTGACTTCCAACATCAACCAACACCATCACTATCATCATCAACTTCCAGATGAGCTCTGGATTGACATTTTCATGTATCTCACTGATTCTCTTTCCTCCATCTTTATCCATGTTCCACTCACTTGCAAGAGATTCTTCCGAATTATTTATCATATGGATGATAATTTTAAACAATTCATACCTTCCAATCATCATCAAGCCTTCGATCATCATCAAGTGTCTTCTTCCCAGACCACCACAACCACCACCACTACCAATAACAGTCTGGTTTCAAAAGTGGAACGCATATTCTTAAACACTTTCTTCAGAAAAGGATCGACCTCCACAAGCACCATCACGACAGATCATTCTGTTCTTCCGAGGAGGAGTGAGGAGGAGGAGGATCATCACCAACATTCTGAAATAGCATCCACCGCTCTACTCCATCACGATGAATGGTTCGTTGATTCGGATACAACTCGAGTGAATGAACCCTTGTACAAGTTATTACTTGAGTTGTATAGTTTGAATAATTTTGATCAGAATGATGAACACTCGACAACAACATTTTCAAATAATACTCATGCCAACAACATGAAACAACAATATAGATCTTACAGAACTTGTTTTGAAATTTTCAAATTATTTGGTTTTACAATGAATAATTTATTTCGAAAAGAGTTGTGTTACAGCGGAACCATGATCACCAATTTGGAGGCTTACAAAAATACAAAGACTGCCTCTCCTTCGATGCAAGAATCTCTTCCAAGTGGAAATACAGTAGTAATGACAGAAAATTTTGGTTCCTCCTCAGCGGGTGTGAATGTAGTGAATCGACCCATGATGTACAATTCAGGAATTCATTATTTTGAATTTATTGTACATAAGAGTGGACAGTATGACAATTTCTTGATTGGAATTGTGTTAACTGAGAGATTGAACATTGAGAATTGTAAACAGGTATCGGGAGAAAAGCTTGAAGATCGGTTTAATGTTGATGCAGAATATAGTTTTCAGTTCAGAGATTATCTTGGATCGTTAAACAGTTTTAGTATTGCAATTTATGAAGAAGGAAATTGTGTTTATCACAAATCTCACTCAATATATAATTGTAATCAAAAGAAACAGTATTGTACTGTCGAGGATGAGAATATTGTGAAAGCTAATGGATATGTTATTGGTGTTTATTTGGATACGAAAAATTACAAAATTGCATTTGCGAAAAGTGAGTAGTTGTTTGTGACATTATTGTTCCATGACACACATTCAATTACTGCTTACGAAAACATTACATCCATACCTTAAACCACACACAAGATGGAGCATTTGTTTCATCGATGGATTTTTCTCAGAAAATGATTGATCATCCAAGGTATGAGGCAGGTCAGCTTGCTTTTTATCCTGCCTTATCTATGGGACAAACAAACGATGCTTGTACCTTTTCTACCAAGATGTCTCTTCAGAAATGTAGTGCCATCAGACGTGCTGTCAAAGAACTCGTATTCGAAAAAAAGTAACCAAAAAATTATGTCAAATTCATTTTCACGTTTGCAAACAACTTTTATTTCTTTTTATTTTGTAAAATATCAAGCTTGTCCTTTGCTTTTTGTTGAGAAATACTTAATTCTCCGTGCGACTTGATAGTGAGATCGTGCAGTTTCAATAACTTTTCAGGCACTTCTTGCTCAGCCTCCTCAAGTACCTTGATGAGTGGTGCACACAACTGAACATCATCAGGAGTGAAAAACGAAACAGAATTTCCTTCTTTGCCTGCCCGTCCAGTTCTACCAATTCTGTGAATATAGGAATCAATATCGTGAGGCATATCATAATTAATGACAAATCTCACATTCTCAATGTCCAAACCTCTTGCAGCAACATCGGTCGCAACTAAAATCGGAGTGTCTCCACTTCTAAATTCATTCAAAACCCACTCTCTTTCCTCTTGCTTTCGTTCTCCGTGAATACTTAGTGAGGGCCAACCTGATTCTCTTAATTTTGTGTCACAAAGTCAGTACGTTTCTTGGTTTTGCAAAAAATTAAGGTTCTACAATCCTCAGGATTCTTGATAAGTTTGTCCAACATGTCAATTAGTCTTGCCATCTTGTCGCTATCTTGAATAAACATAAAGGATTGCTTAACATTGTGATTGGCACTGGTCTCTATCGATCCAATATTTACAATAAAGTGTGGCTCGGTTTTGCTTACGTAAGACATGGCCATGGACTGAACAGCACGATTCCAAGTTGCGCTGAAAAATAGAGTTTGTCGTTCTGGAGTAATTTGAGATGCAATTTGAGAAATTTGAGGATTGAAACCCATATCCAACATTCGGTCTGCTTCGTCCAATACTAAATATGAGCATCGTTTCATGTTAGTAATACCAGCTTGTAAAAATCAAGAAGTCTTCCTGGAGTTGCGATAACAATTTCTGGTTTTGCTCGGCATTCCTTGATTTGATTTTTCTGACTTCTCCTCCGTATAAACAAGCAATCTTGATTGGTTTGCTTTCCGATTGGCTTGCATTACAAAATTTTTCACATTCCTTGTGAATTTGTATGGCTAACTCTCGAGTTGGTGTCAAAATGACCATGACCGGTCCTTCTCCCTTCTTTAGCTCTTTTTGAGCCAACACATGCATTAAACCTGGCAATACAAATGCCAACGTTTTACCACTGCCAGTTTCGGCCAAACCAATCATGTCATAACCTTGCAAAACAATTGGCCATGTTTGTTTCTGAATAGCTGTTGGTTCTTTGAATTGCATTTCTTGGATTTGCTTTTGAATAAAAGATGGAAAATTGAGTTGTGAAAAGAGTAAAACTGGCTTTGGGATTGGAGTTCCTTTACGAGAGCAGAAAACTTTGATGTCTTCTTTTGCTCGTACCTCGGACTCGTTTTTCATGGCTTTGACACTCGGATGTTCCACATATAAATTCTTGACAATGTCCATCTTTTCAAATTCTTTTGGAGTTTCCAGTTCAAAATTGTAAAAGTTATTCAACAAGTCATCCTTCTTGCTCATTTTGACTTTATCGGAATCTCTTAGGTGTGCAAGAAACTCTTCATCTTGTTCCA